CACGGAAAGCAGGTATCGATCTCTTCTTTACAGCTTTATCAATGTTAGGGAACCAGGCATACTGACGTAACAAGGCTTTTGTTTTGACAAGTCCTTGATGACCGCTGTGGGCAAGTTTTACTATCTTCGCTTGTAGAGTTGATGGTATTATAATACGTGTTCCTCGGAGGATTACACCATTTGTATGGTCCACTGTTATTTCATCTTTGATGTTTATGAATGGCTTTACATGACTGCTGCCCCAGTTACCAGACTTAACTGCTTCTCTTACTGCATTGAGACTGGGATCCTTTTCCGTATGTTCCTTGATAACTTGTATTGGAATTGTGGTTTGCGCGGCATTAGTCGAGATGAAGTTTATGTATTCTTCAGCAAGGTTGTGTTTTGGTATCTTCGATTGCGGATGTCGTGACAGGAAATCTGCTGGGTTAACACTGCCTGGTTTGTAGATAACATTGAAATGGTATTGCTGAAGTCTTAGAAACCAACGTTCTATTCTAGCTGGAGGTTTGGACCGAGGATTGTTGTAGATCAACTGTAATGGCTTGTGATCAGTAATTAGGTTGAAAGGTGCACCGAACAGGTAAAATGTTCAATGCCCCACACGATCGCGAGAGCTTCCCTCTCGGTTTGTGAGTACCGTTGTTCTACTGGGGATAATGCTCGGCTGGCATAAGCGATAGTGTTGTCTTCGTTTGTTTTTGGATCCTTTTGCGTCAATATGGCAGATAAACCAACGGGACTTGCATCCACCAGGACTGAGGTTTCTTGGATGTATCGAAATGGCTCATAACTGGACTGTTAGTCAGAGCACTCTTTAGGTCTTCATATGCTTTCTGGTGTATTGTCGTCCATGTAAAACGAGCGTTTTTTTGGGTCAATTTCTGAGTGGCTCTGTAATGGTCGCGTAGTTTTTGATGAACTTAGCGCTGTAGTTAGCCATTCCTAATAGACTTCTCACTTCACCGACTGTTGTTGGTGGTTTTGTATTGGCGAAAGCGTCCACTTTCTTGGGGTCTGGGCTAACACCTTTTTCTGTGAATACCAGTCCAAAGAATTCAAGATTCTTTTTGAGGAATTTGCACTTTTGTAGATTGAGAGTCAGGTTACTCTCTTGCAGACGTGTAAGTACTTCTTCTAATGCTTGGTCATGTTCCTGTCGAGTATTTCCAAACACGATGATGTCATCTGCGATGTTTTTAGCTCCTTGAATTCCTTGTAATGTCTCCTGTAGGGTGTGTTGGAAGAGTTCCGCTGCAGCATTTGTGCCGTAGTTTAATCTTTTATAGCGATATAAACCGAGATGAGTGGAGAAAGTTGTTATTCCCCGAGATGCTGGGTTCAGCTCCAGTTGATGGTAGGCTTGAGTTAGGTCAAGTTTTGAGAAAAACCGAGCTCCGTTAAGCTCAATAGAGACAGCTTCTAGAGTGGGTATGGGATGTCTAGTTCTCTGAATAGCTGTATTTGCTACTCGCATATCTACGCACAATCGAATCTTATCGTCACGCTTTGGGACGACGACGACTGGGGAAACCCACTCCGTTGAAATTCCTTCGGGTATTCTCTCAATGATGTCATCCTGTTCTAATCTGCGTATTTCATCTTCAATTTTTCCGCGTAAATGGAACGGTGCTCGGCGCTGCGGTTGTGCAACTGGTGAAACGGTTTCATCGATAACTAATTCGATTTGTTTGTTCTTTAGTTTCCCAAGTCCACAGAACACAGGGCCATGTTTATCTAGGATGCGTGCGAGGTTTTTATCGCTCGTTGTTGGTGTGATTTTTGAACGTTCTGTTTCCTTGTTTATCTGATTTAAATGGAGACTTACGAGTCCAAGTTCTTGTGCAGTTTCAGAACTAAGTAAACAACCGCCGTCGTCAGAAGTAACAAATATGGTAGCTACCGTGAATTTGTGTTTCGACTCTGCTAAAACGCGGAATTTTCCTTCCATCTTCACAGGTGTTGTGGAATTGAAGGGATATGCTTTCACGGATGTTGGCTGAAGTCGGATATCTCGCAGTTGTTGGAACGTGTGTTTATCGATTACATTTATGCTTGACCCCGTATCAATGGTCATTTTTACTCTTTGTCCATTGAGAGCAATTGACGCTTGCGGGTGTTTTTGTTTGTTGTTGACCGCGTAACAATATTCTGGACCACTACTGTCGCTGCTAGTGTTGTCCTGGAGGTCTGTGTTAACTGGTCGTAGGTCTTCGCGTGGTTTACCAGTTTGTCTATTTTCTCTCGTGTTGCTACTGCGGCACTGGCTAGCAAAATGGTTTAACCACAATTGGCACATGTCTTGTTTTTGGCAGGGCACGGTTTGTTGGTGTGAGGGTAGCTGCCACCACAGTAAAAACATGTCTTATTGGATGTCTTGTGTTTTGTTTCTTTCGCGGTTGGCGTTTTAACTGCTTGAATATTGCAGCTGTCTAAATGTCCTTCAATGTCAGCTGCATGCGTCTTGCTTATTTCTTCCCGCCTGGCTGCGAGCAAAAGATCTTTTAAAACATACTTGGGGTCTCGCAACGCTTGTTTACGCACGCGACTTGACTTTCCTCCAATAACAATTTGTACCATAATTTCGAACTCTACATCTGAAAACTCACAGTTTTTTGACAGTGTTCGTAGACGCGTGTGGTATTGATCTATCGTTTCCGTGTCGCTCTGTTTTGCTTGTCGAAATTTGTAGACTTCGTATAATCGATTTTTTTGAGGCTCGAAGTATTCGGTGAGAAGTTCCGTCGCTTTATCGAAGTCGTCGTCGTTACCAGGGTCTGGAAAGTGTCGAAAGATTTCCCGTACTCGCGGTCCTGCTTGGTATAAAAGTAATGCTCGTTGGCGTGTCTTGTTTGTAATGTTGCTCGCCGTTAGAAATGTTTTGAAATCTGCCAACCAAGTACGCCATTTAGCCGCTATATTTCCTCCCGCGTCAGCATCAGGGTCAAACGGTGGCATAGGCGTGAGATATGTCGCCATTATAATATGTTTTAATCACTTGTTTTAGTCTTCGTCGCCAATGTAATATTGCTTGTTTCTTACGCTTTTTCTATGTATCTTTCTATATCCCTTACATAACTAGATCTCCCTCAATTAATGTCAATCAATCCCCTAATCAATATCAAGTCTATATTTAGCTATTACTGTCCGTGTCTATATATATATATACATTACAGAAGGGAAATTCATCTCCCTAAATTAGCCAAGTGAGCCAACCTCCGCGATTAGGCAATCAGGGAACGGGGCAAAGCTGGATAACATTTTATGCTATATATGGCTCAGTGGCTTGTTATATAAACGAGCTTAGCGTCCAAGCAAGGAAAAGTACTAGGACCTAGTTTAAAATTCCGTACCAGAAAATTTTAGTTTTAAATAGTTTCGTAAAAGACTATAGTTAAATTTTAACTGTAAATTAGTACGGAATTTGCCAATCAGGGCCAACCGGCCCCTCATCTTTCGTCTTAACAGTTATCACCACGTATTGTCTCTTCAAACAATCCTAGAAGACAGTGTAGTCTCTTTTAAACAGGGCATGAGTTTAGTTAATGCCAAAGGTAGCAAATTAAAAAACATCATAATTCAGTTATTAGCAATTTCATGTGACCAGTGGCGTACCGCAACCGTTACGGGTCCTCCGTCAACAAGCCATTTGAGGCCCTTTGCTGCATTATAGAATAGGTTGAATGATGGTATTTATATATCCCCGGATATATATAGCCCCTAAAGCTTGTGTAACGGTTATCGGATAATGGATTAACTGTAAATATAGACTAACAGTAATAGAAGAAGGAAAAGTAAGTTGCCGCGGATGTACCATTGCAAGTGCTTCCGAGATTAAAATATAAATATAGAAGTTGATAATAAAAATTGCATTATGGATAGTGAAAAAAAGCGTAACCGTTTAATTGTTTTAAAGGCGTCGTTTTTATGCAAGAACAACTATTAACTTAATATGCGAGGGTTCATATTCATATAGTCGTCTTATGCCCGACTGATTTCTTTTGTAGCTATGCTTTGCATGCTTCTAAGATTAGTTTTAAAAAAATTCTCATTCCAATAAATAGTTTAGTAGAGTATGATAATGATTTCCGTTTGACCGTTGACTTGCGTATTTTTTCGTTATATATACTGTGGTTTCTGACTTGCGAGTTCTTTGGTGATGAAAATAATTGCCAAATTACTTTTAGCATGCTTTCGCGCATTGTTTTAGATTGATACACCCCCAAGAAACAAATAAATACAAAAAATATTCACTAAATTATGCGAACGTAAAAATCCACGGCCAACGCCAATGGCATCCACAATTATCCACAATATTTATCTGCTCAACCCTAGATGAAAGAAAGGAAGATCATCCAAGTTGACAAGGCTCTGGAAGGGTCCGTTTACTGTTGTAAAGAGACTGAATAATCTGGTGTATCGAATAAGGAAAACATGAGGACCAAATGAAAAGTTTTGCATCGAAACAAATTATGGAAGTATTCTGGGACTAATCGAATATTTGGGGTGATGAACAGTGCGCACTGCTCGGTATACATAAAACTAGGACAACTCCTCTCCATCCAGAATCAGATGGAATGGTGGAAAGATACAACCGAACTTTAAAGACACAACTATCTTTGTTTGTGGAAGAGCGTCAACGCGATTGAGACAAGTATACGCACCTCTCCTTGTAATGCCGTATAGGACAGCTGTGCACAAGGCAACTGAATTTACCCCTGCACGTATGATGTTATGGCATGAGGTTCGTGTACTGGTTGATCTTGTTTGCGGATCTCCGGAAGAAAACGAACGCAAGAATTCTTCAGAGAATGTCAAAAGTCTGCAAGAAAATCTGGAAGTAATTCACTGATTTGCCAAGGCAAACTTGGAATAAAGCTACGAGAAGATGAGGAAACAGTATAATAACGACAATATATAGTGCAAACCCTTTGGAAAAAGATGATCTTGTCTGACTATTCAGCCCTCGATGAAAGAAAGGAGCGGCCAAGTTAATGAGGCTCTGGGATGGTCCGTTTACTGTTGTAAAGAGACTGAATGATCTTGTGTATCCGATAAGGAAAAACATGCAGACCAAACGATCGAAAAGTTTTGCATCGAAGCAGATTATGGAAGTATGCTGGCGACCAATCGAATATTTGGGGTGATGAACAATTCGAGACTAGTCGTTTCGAAATAGAACCTCAAGAAAGTGTGGATAAGTATCATCTCCGGATCGGTAAGATGACTCGGGAAGGAGTATAGTGTGGTGAATGTTATATAAAGACTTTTTATACCTAGTATGCGTGAGTGAACATTGCCATTGGGGGCGTATGGAAATATGCTACAAAAGAAGCGTGCACGTAGAGATAGATAAAGAAAATTGATAATAACAGAGTTTTTGTTCGAAGCTAAGCGAGTTATTACAATATCTCAAGTCTACAAGCTGCTCGCAGATGTTTAGCAAATTTTCTAATTACGAATAAAAACACGAATTATCTTTTCTTAGCTATTTTGACAGGTTGTCCTATCTTACAGTAATATTAAATCATTCAAACTTTTAGATCTGTTTCAGTCACAGTCTGCTACATATTTAGTTTATGTGCATGAGTAGAAAAAGAGGGTGGAAGAACATTTCTACAGCTAGGGTGTATAAAAAACTGCAACCCTAAGAAGCGAACATATATGAAAGTTAAGTGGGTTAATATAAAACTATGGAATTCTTTACCTTTGGAAATAAGACAAAAGGATAAAATAAAGACATTTAAAAATAGTCACATTGATCATATTAAAGAGTCGTATGAAAACATTGACTATTTTCCTATTTCATAATATTTTGCAGGTCTGAAATATTTTATTGTAATACCTAGATTTTACTAATTTCACCTAACATGTTTATATGTATGTGCTAATACTTCCAGCTATTTTATTGAAATGTAAATAGATTATAGGGAGGGCCACAAGTTTATCAGTTTCTACCGCAATGTGTTACCCTCATTAAATATCTAATAAATTTGAAAGGCAAATTTCCCCTAGGAACTTATGCATGACGGTTATTCATATGCTAATTTTGATAATTTTGTCTTCGCAAAAGATTAGAACTTATCGAGGCAAAGCCAAAAAGAAACGTAACTTTGTCAACCCCGTTATTGAGTGGCATATAATGAAAGGAAAGCCCAAAAATGACTAACAGCACAATTCTCGTTCCAGTTGCCAGCAGTGTTCTCATCTTTTCAGTTGTTTTCAAATTTATCGCAATGATTATTGGAATATTGGGAAATGTCACAGTTATAATATACACAATTTTGTTGTGTAAAGAAAAGACAGCGACATCTTACTTGATAGCAAACCTGGCATTAGCGGCTCTTCTCGTGTGTTTAATATTTTATCCACTATGGATCATCGAGTTAATTCAGACTATATTAAACATTGAAAGTGATCAGGACTTGTTTTGTAAGTTAAGTCGTGCCACGATCTTGTCTCTGCTGCCTGCCTCAGTGGCAACAATTCTCGCAATTACTGTTGATCGTTATTTATATATCGTAAAACCTCTGAAATATCATCTAATTGTGACACGTCGACGAGTATTTCTGGCCATTTCTGGAATCTGGTTAACTGCTTGCTGTGTCTACGCCATATTTTATGTTTACTTTCGGAGTTTTAACAACAGAGTTAGAGGTTTTTGCTACATATCTCGCAGCAATTATTATCTTGTGGCAGTTCCTCTTGTCTATATTCCCCTCTCTCTTATATTTCTTTTCAATTTCCGAATATTAAATGTTTCTCGACAACACCGCAGGCGAATCTTTGACGAATCAATGGTCGCAGGCACCAGCGACAACAACGAGCATTCAGGCAATATGAGAGTTGTACTTCGTCTATTTCAGGCGTTTACAGAAGTGAAAACATTTTCTATTGTTATTACAGTGTGGACGATCTGTTGCTTTTTACCAACAGTTATCGGGATCGTGTTATACGAATCATGTAGTGATTCCTGCCGACAGGTTTGGTTCGTGGTTGTTCAGTTCGATTTATATGGCATAAACTAGATCGTGAATGCTTTCATTTACGTAATGAGGCATATCAAATACAGAAAAGGTTATGGACAAATTCTTTTCAAAATTGTTGACTGCAATTGTGGCCAGTTACCTGTATTATGAAAAATTTACTTGAATTCTGTGTCTAATTTATGTGTAGAATTGACAGACACTTCCAGAATCTGGCTAACTGCTCGTGTTATCCAATCAATATTTTTACATTCATTTATATTCATTTCTATACTCATTTCTATTGCTGCCTCCTAAAACAGTAGACTTTCCCCTTTTAGCTTTCGAGCGGGCAATGCGTGACGGTAGTTGATTTTCAAGGTCAATTTGAGTTGTGATTTTGCCTTATTCGGGAGCAATTTAGTTTAACTAAGTAGCAAAAAGAATTGGGAAGGTTTTCTTACAAATTGCTTAATAATAAACTAACGCCACGCATTGCGCGCTTGAAAACTAAAAGGGGAAAGGTCTATTGTGCACAAATGAGTGTGGTTTGTAATAATAAATAGTAGAATATTTTAATATGATTCATACCAATCATGGTGTAAAAAATCTTTCCTGACATCTAAAAAAATAAGTCATCAATTCATCAATATATTCCCACATTTTGAAAGACATTCCTGGTAAGCTGGATGAATATTAAATCATGAAAGGTAGAATAAACTATAAGCAATAAAACGTAAAATAAGACGTACTCTAAAAAGTAATTTAACCTTAGCTCATTGTTGTATACTGATATAAATTACTTCATCAACGAACGCATTTTTCAGTATTAAGAGAGACCATACTTTTTGCGGTTAAATGAGAATTTTTGCACCATATATGCAGAAAAGATGAACCAAATAACCAAATGAGAATTGATCAGAATTTGGTCATGGACCTAGGATCTTTTGTTATTGAATAGAAGTGAACATGTATGATTATTAGGTGAGTTGCTATTTTAAGTATTTTTTTGAT